CAGCCGCCTTTCTGGTCACAGGGGGTGTATTTTTAGGATGTATACAGCACCCTCTTCTGGTACCTCCGATGGATGTGTGGTGCCCTAAAATAGGTCAAGACCAGGGTCAGAGCACTTTCTCTTACATTTCCTTTCTAAACTGTCTCTGAGGGCGTAACACCCTCTGGACTATTACAGTTTTGATGATTTTCACTAGGTTTTTTTTTCCTCAACAATCGTGACCAACAACACAGCAGAACTCGTAAACACAAGCTGGAATCTTTGGTTTGATTGCATTTGACTTTTTGGGTAGGAGACGGAGAGGGTACCACCTAGTGTCAGCTTGGGGAATTCTTACCCGAGAGTTAAAAGACAGTTCCTCAAAGCAGTCCTTGACGCAGTGGCAAGGCAGACCTTCATATGTACATGGCTTGATGCAAGAGTTCTCGTGGCTTGCTTGGTACTTACCGCACTAATGAGATGCTGTGGCTGTCACTTGCCTGGAGCGTTCTGCCTTTTTCAGCGATTTGTTGGGCTCTGATTGCTTCTGTGGTCCCTCCTGGAACCAACTAGAAACCAGCACTAAGGTTGCACTGTGTGGCTCATTTAGGTCAAGTTTGAGTAAAAATCCTGACACCAAGTTCACAGTACTGACTGGCACCCCTGTCTTTTCCTTCTATTGTTCTTTAGCAAATTCTTCTCACTATTGGAAATCTAGTGTAAATGAGACTTTATCCCAGCTCAGGAACACTCGAACGTCCAGTGTTTAATGGGCCATGGGGGGTTTGCACAGAGCTGCCAAAGCCAAGCCCGAAGTCCTGCGGTGACGACACGCCCCCCCCCCCACCTCCTGCTCTCACACAGTGGCTCCCGGAGGCCTTTGTGGCTCCCCATCCCAGCCCTGTGGAAGCTTCCAGCTGCCAGTCCGGCCAGGCAGTGTACCCTGACCTCAAAAGTACTCCAAAGAGACTCATGGCAGGTAATGCTGGTGTCCCTACCACCATGGTATGGAGCCTGAGTGTCCCCACCAGGCCCAAGGGTCAAGGCCCTGTGCACTGCTGGGCAACGATGGAACCTCAGGCGATGGGCACAGAGGCAGGAAATGGTCCCTTTGGGTGTTTTCCTCCAAGGGGATGCTGAGGCTCCAGTCCCTTCCTCTCTGCCCTGAGGTGGGCGGCCTTGTCCTGTCATGCACTGCCCAGCACGCTGCCCACTGTGCCACAGGCCTGAAAGCATGGCGGCCAAGTGACATTGACTGAACCCCTGAGGGCGTGAGCCGAGGTAAAGCTTTCCTCCTCTTCAGGAGTCATCTCCAGGGGAGGCCACCTCACACACTCCCCAGGGCCAGTGTGCTGCTCTCCAGCCAGGCAGCCCAGAGGAGAGGGCGCGGCCAGGGGCAGGGTTAGCATTAGGGTCAGGGTCAGGGTCGGGCGTGGCGCCCCTTCCCCTTTCCATCCGGACTTTCCTCTGGACCTCTTCTAGCTTCTCCTCACTCGCAGGACAGCATGATCACACAGCCTTTCCCTTCTTTTGGGGTCCTGAAAATTAATAGTAAATTGATAGTTGTGTTCACCACATATAATTTCCTATGGATTATTCTACTACTAGATCATACAGGGAGAATATCCAGTGTCCAGTGATTTTTTTCCATTTTTTTTTTGTCCTACCATGTTTTCTATGGATTAAATGGAAGGAAGGAAGGAAAGAAAGGAGGACCATGCTAAGTAGAAGCAGCATCGTAACTTTTACTGATGTATGCTCAATAAGGAGCCCAGCTATGATTTAACAGGCAGTGACAACACCCCTGCAGTCCTTCTGGGCAACATTTCTGTCTTAAATAACTGCAGATTTTTCACACTGAGGGTTGTCATTGGTGACCAAAGTAAAGGAACTCGCCGATTAATGAGTCCCAGTCTCCCCAAAGAAAGGCTCCTGATGGAGAGTGAAGGAAAAGGATGAGAATCCGGAAAGAAGTAATGCGGATAAAATCCGCGCACCCAGCTATTGTCCCTTTATGCTCCAGGAAATCATAATACTAATGGTCTCTGCTTCGGGTCAAGCCCTGTCCTTTGCAATGTGCCCGTATCCCATTCGCACGGCTCAGTGCTTCACTGTTCCACATGGAAGAAGCGGGAGCACAGAGAAGCAGTCAGGAGGGCAGGCCACAGAGCTGCAAGGACCTGAGGCTGCACCCCAGAGCTGGCGGAGCAGCCGTCCATCCTGCCCTGCCTGCCCTGCCTGCCCTGCCTGCCCGGCCTGCCCGTCCTGCCCTGCCTGCCCTGCCTGCCCTGCCTGCCCCGCCCCATCCCTCCATTTTTCCCCTCCACTTTTGTCTCCTCCCCTCCCTTCCCCTCTCTTCTCCTTTCTTGCCACATCCTCCTCCTCTGCCCTGGATGCCAGACCACCCCAGCCAGCAAAGCTGCCTCTTTTTCCTTTTGCAAGTAGGACGCCCACTCCCAGGGTCCCATCAGGAGCTCCTCCTCTGCACGGACAGCCACTTTACAGCTTTTGTCCCCTTTGGCCCAGCTACCTGGCAACATTAATGAAGACTTTCTAGCTACTGACTAAACGAGGCGGCCTGTAGAGACCATGGCCAGCTGGGCATGGGGACTTCTTCAGGAGCCCCAAGCAGACAGCTTTGTGGAAACATCCTCTTTCTGCAATGAGTACCCCAGGCTCCCCCAAACAGCTTGACTTAATATAAAAAAGCTGACAGATGAACTCAGCTTTGTCTTGAAACTGCTCTGATCTCTCATTCTCCATTGTCTGGGCCCCTTGGGAGGGATCTTTGTTTGGCTAATGTTCCTATATAATACAACGTACTTACTATAGTGTACACTGTGGCAGACATGTGACTTAGAACACAGCGCATTCACAGTGCATTCATCTCTTCTATAATAATGAGAAGGACACTGCTGCAGTTTTAGTCTTCTATGCGAAAGAAAAACATCATATAATACTATCAGCCAAGAGTGATATTACTTCTGCCTTTCCCATTGGGAAAAGTTACTTATTTAAAAACTGATTTAAAATTCTGTTCTGTTAGCCAGGCACAGAAGCTCACACCTGTAATCCCAGCACTTGGGAGGCTGAGGCAGGAGGATCATTGCGAGTTCGAAAGCAACCTGGGCTACAAAGTGAACTCAAGGCCAGCCTGAACTGTATAGAGAGACCCTGTCTCAAAAAGACAAAAAAAAAAAAAAAAAAAAAAAATCTGTTCTATTGCTTTAATTAAACAATAGCGAGAGTATTTATTATTAAAAGGTAGTAATTCTCGAGAAGCCAACCCTTTCCTGTGACCCTGAGTCATGCATGGGCTTCGGGGAGAAGAACCAGATGCCAGCCTTTTCCTGGGAGTTGATGCCATGATCAGCCTATGAGGAGAACCAGTCGCCAGCCCCTCCTGCTGGGCTGGGAGACAAGGAAAGCAAAGTGCCCCACCCACCATGATAAGCGACTGCTTAGATGGAGAAACACAGGCTGAGGTGATAGCACTGAAATAAAATACAATTCGATGCTTGCACACAGTGTTTAATGTTTCATTGACTTTGCAGGTCTAAAAGCAGTAGGCTGATCATCTATGTAGATGCTAACAATACGCAGTGTAGAACCTATGGGGGGGTCTCCTTCTGAAGGTGGAGGCCACTGTTAATTTCGTATTACCTTGTTTTAAAGGCCTGTATCGTTTTCATTGTTTTGTGGGTTGGGTTTTATTCTGCTTTGTTTGGTTTCCTTTTGTTACATCTGACGGCATGAGCAGTTATTTCAAAGAAAGTATATTATGGTAACCATTTTGGATTTCCTATGCTCTTATTTTGAAGTCCTCTATTGCATTGTTTTGTTTTTATTGGTTCCTTTCTGTTGTTTTGTTGGATTTTATTATGTCTGAAGGTACGAGCAGCTATTTTGAAGACAACAAGAGGCATTTTGATAGCCATTGTTGCTTTCCTGTTATCGTGTTTTGAAGTCTTGTGTCATTTACACTGTTTTGTTTTGATTGGCTTTATTATCTTTAAAATAAAAAAATTGCTAAAAATAATTTAAAAATAAAAGGTAGTACTTCTCATCTCCGGTCAGTACTCATTACCATATCGAGTTGCCACTCACATGGTGAATACACTGGACGCCCATTCCCAGTACAGTGGCTTCTCTCTGGATTAGGGATGGGGGCTGTGAAATCCCAGAGGAAGGTGGGAGGCAGCCACTTGAATGCCCCTCTCCTCGGGGAATGACACTGGAACCCTCGGAGAGGACCGTGAGGTCCTGGTAATGATGGCTCACGTCTGCTGAGTGATTCTTCATTCTCCAGCACGACTCCAGTGCCCAGATGCCCTGTCTCATTCATTTCACCATTGTCACTCGCCCTGTAAAGCGGTACTGATACCACGCCATGAAGGATAAACTGAGGCTTTGGAGACACAATGTGTAAATCACCCAAGGTCTCCAAGCTGGTGAGCCAGAATAAAACCAGGAACATGAACCCCAAAGTCATGAGCTCGAAGTTCACTCCAGGGTTTCCGACACTCAGCCAGTGTCACTGCACAGGTGGGCCCGGCACCTGCATGGGCACAGATGCTGCCATACCCATCTGCCCTGAGACTCAGCAGCACCTGCGCCCCAGCCGTGGTAGCCCAGAGGCTTCCCAAATGTCCTGCAGGGCCGCAGCCCTTGCTGCAGCTGCAAAGCGGAGCTCTCCCTTCGTCCCTCTTTATGGAGACCTCCCATCTCACACCCGTGAACAGCCTGCAGAAACGGAACTCAGTGGCTAAAACTCAGCTTGCTAAACATTAAGTTAAATACTTTTGATTATTTCATACAGAAAAAGCTTATATTTGAGACTTTTAAACAATCAGGTTCTTTGAAATCAGTCCCCCTGGGATATACAAGATATTAGAGGAGGCTTTGCTGATAAAACAAGGAGCCAGAGGTGACTTAAATTGCAGATTATGAATGTCATCCTTTAAAATGTGTCACCATTTTTCACCTGACGTACTCCAGAAGATAAAACCAAGGAGTCTGTATTAGCAAACAACTTCTTTAATGGGTTTATTTGATTAATGTGTACAGATGTGGCCTAAACCAACAGTCAAACAAAAAAGCTGCATGCATATGTCTGAGAGTGAAAAATCATCATTCATATTTTTAAAAATTCAGAATTCTAGTATTTTCCTAAAATTTTCAATAAATCAAAATTCTCTAAAGCTTTGATTTTGTTTTTAGTCCTTTAAAAATATATTCTTACACATATATTAAAAATAAGTATTTTTCTCCTTGGGAATACATTGTTGACCAAAATCTTAAGTGTTTACTGCTATGTTAGTGACTCTAGGAAAAACTTAAAATTTATGGTTTGCATTCCTAGGAAATTACTTTAGAAACAATTCATACATTCACAAAGAATGAGAAAAGACACTGAAGCAATTAGAAAATTGTTTTGGATAATTCACATTAAAATAAAATATAAACATACACACTAAAGTAGTTAAGGAAGATAGTGAAATTCATTTAATAGGCATGTTCCATATAAAGAGTGTGTCACAAATATTACATTCCAAAGGTCTACATGAAAAATCACAGTACACACAGACTAGAAGTAAATATATCACACAAAAACATCCTAGAGATGTCTATGTGGCTGAACTTTTATACTTTTTCTTTTTCGAGACAGGGTCTCCCTATGTAGCCCAGGTTGGCCTTGAACTCAAGGCAATCCTCTTGCCTTAGCCTCCGGAGTGCTGGTATTACAGGCATGTGTCACCACACCTGGCTCAAATATTTTTTAAGGTTTGGAAAAAATCTAGAGCAATACTGATTAAAAATAAATACACTGCATCAATGTAATTTTGACTGTTCTATTATTTTTTCTTTTCATCAAAAATATATTTCTTACAAATTCTAAAATTTAAATGGAGATTTTTAACATTTTTCCCATCATCATTTAAATGTAGAATTAAACACATAGCTGGCTAAATAAATCCAAAAGAGAACAGCAGAGCTGGGGGATTACAGACAATACTATGTATTTAAGTGACCACACATTCTAACTTTTTTCTTGGGTGCCATTTGGATGTAACTTGCCTCTTAATAGCCTACATCAGTCACAGTGGTTTCAGTTCAAGCAAAGGCTGTCACAATGAAATCACAGAATCTATACACATTACCATGGTTACCACCTGCCACTCCTCCTGTGAGACATAGCCCGAGTCCTGAGATGTGCATAAATAAACGCACACGCCCGGTAAACTAGGAGACTTCATTTTTCTTCTTTGGGACTTTCCAGTTGGTCTTGTGTTGTTTCTTTATTCTTCTGTTGTACCTCTGAAAGAAAAACAAACCAGTATCTGTCCATCTGTCAAACACTGTCCTTCGTTCACCCCCCGGGCATTTTCCCCTTTAGAACATCTTCTGCCCTGGGGGAAGCTGTGCAGAGACACAAGTCTGCTCCTCTCTCCTCCTCCACAGGCTCGGAGAGCACCAGGTCCCCTCGGGTGTGATCACCGACAGTGCACTCACACCCTACAGTGCACAGCTAGTGACCAACAGAGCTACGCGGCTGGGCTACCTGGCCCCACCGGCCACGGCCACCGGCCTCTCCCGTCTCCACACTCCCTACCCTTCGCTGCTCAGAGGTGACCTCGCTTCCTGCTCCCGAGGAAAAGCAAAAGCAAAGCCACTGGATAGGAGCTCCCGCTGGCTGTCCTCAGTATACTCTGGGCTGCTTTCTGTCCCCCACATCACAGGGAAAGATGCGAGTCTCAGCACTAGCTACATGACTCGTGGGTGCCCAGAGAAATGAAACACAGCAGCCTGCTCACGAGCTGGGAAGTGTCGGGACAGTGAGACAACCAATAAAGCAAGCGTGGGGCTGTGTAGAACCCAGCTCGGTGCCCGGCCCTGCCGCAGCCTCTGGCACTGCCCCTGGCGCTACTGCTGCTGCTGCCGCCCAAGTCTGACGTCTGCACCATCCAGGGCCCCTGCCCTGTGGGCCTCCCCAGGGAGCCACCCCGGTTCATCCCTCTCCATTCCATCTGCCTTCCATCCTCCCGCCTTCCTTCACGTCCTCTGTCACTATCTTCAAACTAACAAAGATTCTTCAAGAGCAAGTTTCACACATCCTGTCTTCTCTTTCGTCTTTTGAGACATATATTTTGAGTGGGGAATCTTTTTGAGACAGGGACTCACTATGCAGTTCAGGCTGGCCCTTCAACTCACTATGTAGCCCAGGCTGGCCTCAAACTCAGTGATCCCCCTGCCTCAGCCTCTTAAGAGCTGAGATTACAGGTGCGCACCACCTCAGGCAGCTAACTTTGTGGCTTTTTTAGTTTCCTGACACATCAGTCTCCGTCACCTGCAGAAATAGGAGACCGATATCCCTCTATTAGGGTTACCAAAGTGGAAGGAATGGATTAAGATAGATCATGAAATTTTAGGTTCATTTCATGCAAGATGAAAGCCATTTCAGATCCTAGATTTTTTCTACACCTCAACATATTGATTTTAAAAACTAGCAAAGCAATAAAAATAAAAAGGAAAGAACAGGCTTGAAAGAAACTTGCAAGTGTTTCTTAGAATTTGTACTTTTAAGTGACCGACATCGGAGAGTCCCCAGCTGCAGTGACCTTGAACTGTTGGAAATGATGTTTTTAAACCCTTACTATTTTTGCTTAGTTAATGAGGAGAAGATAGGCATTAAAACTGTTTATTTGCTAATAAAGCATTACCTCTACCGTGCACCCAGGGAGCTGTGCCCTTTCATTTATTCTTCAGCATCCGTGATGACAGTTGGATCTGTTTTTGATACTTTTGCATTTTTTAGTTGATACTTTCATTGCAAAATGATTTAAAGAAAAATGCAAGGACAATGGTATCGGCCCGATGGCAGACTCCCTAACAGCTGGAATAAAATGGAGAACTCTGCTAACTCTTGAGGTGGATTTCACTCCCCTTTGCTTGCCTAAGAAACGCCAGTACACACTGGGGTTCTGTGTGTTTAAGATACGCAAACTATAATTAGGCTTCTCATATAAACAAGTGTTACCTTCTCTACCTACTTAGCATGGGCAGCCTGAGCAGCAGCCTGGTCCGAGTCGTATCACTTTTTCAGGCTCAAAGGTCCAAACGTCCATGTATTTTCGTGGCTCACCCTCCCTTTACCCCTTCCATCTTTCCTTTTCTCATCCTGTTTTACATGTAGTGCTTGGAAACCAACCCCGGGTGTCTGCAGCCTTAGCGACAGGAAGCAAAGCCCTGAGGTCCGGAGCCAAACCTGCACATCCTCCTAGGAAGAGGCCCCTATGTAGCTGCTAGCACGGTTTCCCCCCGTCCCTGGGTCTAACACACACCACACCATGCAGACACATGCACAAACACACATGAGCATGTGCACATGCTACATACAGGAGCACACCAGTACACCCTCATCTCTAGAATGGGAACGGTACAGGAGGTTCCCACCTGCCTCAGAACTGAGAGCCCTTGAGTCCCCAGGCATCTGTGTAAGTGAGAGGGGCTTCCCACAGCTCAAAGCACCCTTACACTTACTGTCAGACCTGCCTGGGAGCCAGGAGACAGACTCCTGGGTTTCGCCCCTGGTTCAAGAGCTGTTTTGCAGAACTGAACTTTTTCCACTGGCTAAAAAACGTTACTTTTTACCCGAAGATTCGCTCAAAGAAGTCACCCTCTTGGATTGCAGACCTCTTCCCGGGTACCCGAAGTGGAAGGGATTGGGGACCAGGCGGCCTGCAGTGCTTATGGTCCCTCCCCTAAGCCTAGTGAGGGAGGGACTCTATACACTGTGGTATTCTCGAGCCCTGAAAGGCAGCCAGCTTCCTTCCTCGTGCACCCCAGGCACGGCAGGAAAGATGAAGCCTCCATACTCAGAAAGACAGAGCATCTACCTAGCCTCAGGCAGCTCTGGAGAAGTTTTTTAGTAAAAGAGATAAAGAGAATACTCTTCCCTGGTTAAAGGGGACTGTTCCACACCGGAGGGGTTTATTGAGAGAGGTCACGATGTAGGTGCAGGAGCTCATTACCTTCCTTTACAGAGAGCGTCTGCAGTTGCTCTGGCAGCTCGAGGGCCTCGCTGGAAGCACCGGAACTCCGGATGTCCGGCAGGGCGTTGCGGCGGCCGGTCCTCGACGACGAGGTGAAGCTGGTGGCCGTGGCCTCCACGTCGGTCATGGTGGATGAGCGTGTTCTCATCGCAGCATCTAGGGACAGAGCAGCGCAGGAGGAGGTGAACTAGGGAGGCACCGACTGGAAGCACACAGCTGGATGGAAAGCCTGGGGCTTGGAGGCCTAGCGTGCAGCACACCCTTGGGTGCCAGCACCCGGGCCCCAGAGCTCTCCTTGCCCACACACTGGGCAGAGGGGATGCCTCAGTGCCAGCCCTGGACGCGCTCGAATGCTTGGGCACCGATCAGCCACCCCACGGCGGCAGGAAGTGAGGTGGACCAGTGCGGCTACTCGCAGAGGCACGGTTTGCTGCTCACAATTGCTTGGCTGAAACTGTGGGACCTGCTCAAGGCACGTTCTTCTCCCACTTAGAAACAAGGAATTCTGCTTTGCCCCACCCTCAGCCGCCCCAGAGACGCCTCCCAGGGCAGTTAGGTCAGTTTCACCTTTTCTACCTTTCACGTGGGCACCTTGCCACCACAGCAATATTTTTGATACCAGAACAGGGCCACTTGAGAACCTCGTGTGCGCCGACGTGGGTAATGTAGGGCCCCTCTGTCCGCACCCTCCGTGTGCATGCGTGCATGTGTGCCCACGTGTGACAGTCACCTTTAACTGACCATCGTTTTCTTTTCTAGAAAAATGTAGGTAGTGTACACACTCATAAGACTCTAGGGAATTGGTGTGCTATAAGGATTCCTAGCTCCTTGCAGCTTTCCAAAAGGACTGACCCAAGGCACCCTATAATCCCAGCATGCAAGAGGCTGAGGCAGGAGGATCTCTCTGAGACTGTGAAGCCAGGATGGACTGTTTAGGGGAGATACATGGTGAGGCCGTGTGAGAAAGCAATCGATCAGTCCATCGCTCTGCAAGGACACAGAGTGCAGCCTCCCCGATTGCGAGGCTTCCAGAAGGATCCATGGAAACGACAGCTTGCTGGGTATCTTGCCTGTGAGAGATCTCTCTCTCTCAGTTCTGTTATTCTCCCTGTCCGTTTCTGTGCTATTAGCCATCCACACTCAAGTATAAAATGAACTCCCTGCAGGCCAAGGTGCTTTCCTAAAAACTTAAACAGTTTTCCTCTTAATACACCAGGGTTTTCTCCAGTGCCAGGAATGAAACCCTGGGCCTTGTGCATTCATCAGGTTATCTTGAGTAGTGAGTGTATGCCGTGTGTGTGTGTGTGTGTGTGTGTGTGTGTGTGTGTGTGTGTGTGGTGGGGGCCCGTGTGCGCTCTGTGTGTTGTGTGCCTACACTGCACAGTGAGTTGTACCCGGAGCACAGAGTTCCCCATGGCGGGTACAGCCCCAGGCGGACCTAACCCCGTGGTGCCCTCCCGTTTGCGCCCCTCAGTGACTCCAATACCGACCTTGGCGTGGTTGGGAGGGGGTCCCCATCATCCTGCCCCCTCACCCCAGGCCCGCCGGGGGCATTCGCCTCCCTCACTCCCCTCGCTCTCCGTCTTGCTGAACCCCACGTGGGTAGCCCCAGCCCGGCCCCTCCCTCCCTCCCAAGGAGGCCCGGGTGGAGGGCGGGGGTCTCAGCCATAGAGAGCGGAGGGCGGGCGGGGCGAGTTGGGGGCCAGCCTGGAGGACCCAGAGCGACCCTACCCCAAAGAAAAGTTAGGGAAGTGGAGGGACTGAGGACAGGAGCAAAGGGCAAGGCAGGGACACGCAGGGCCAGGTGTCTGCACCCGCGGGAGACGCTGGGGTCCGAAGGTCTCCAGGTTCCCCTGCTCCCCAGGCCCGGCCCAGGCCCAGCCGGCAGCCCCATCCCTCCCCAGGGAGCTCTGGGGCTTCCAGCGAGGCAGTGCGGAGAGCAGCGGAGAACAGCCTACACAGACACTGGGAGCTGCAGAGTAGGTGTTTAGTTAATGCTGCGTCAGGCAGCCTGCAGCGTCAGCCAGGCCTCAAGATCCTCTCTGCTGTTAATCAAAGACCCAAAGAACAAAGGCAAGGAGGAAGCCCAGCGTCACATACTGAAGTGGTTTTGCAGTACTGATGTCCCATAGCCTGAAGGCGAGATGCAGACCAGAGCTGTGGTAAGCTCCCCCAGGCCCGGGGCCACGTACTGCCTCAGGGGTGAGCAGAGGGAGCTCCCAGCCCTAGTGGCCTGGAGAGCAAGGAGGGAACAACTGGCCACCACCAGCCAGCGATGCCCCTTGTATGCGCGTGTGTCCTGCAAGCTTGACGCAGACCCCTTTGCTAGACGCATTCTCAGCCTGGGTTGAGCGAAGCCCTTTATCCTGGAGACTGGCCTAGGCCCAGGGTAATGGGTGATAATGCAGTGGACCTTCCAACGAAGGAAAGTTAATGGTTTAAACATGGACACATCAAATGGCATGCTTAAGTTGCAGAAGGCTTTTATAACAGACACACACACATCTGTCTTCGAGAGGAAAAATGCAGTGCGTATGTCCGTGAGCATCAGCACGGATGAAGAAGACGTGGTCTTGACACTCAGAAGAGCACTACTCTGCCACGAAGAAGGACAAATGTGAGTCTTCTGGAGGAAAAGGGATGGACCTGAGACCACAGTGCTACGTGAAGTGAGTCAGACACACAGGCGTCACTCCTGCATGTTTTCCCCACAGGAGAAACCCCAGGTGTAAGGAAAGAGAAAAATACAAGGCGGGTGATGGTGGGGCGGGGCAGAGCTGTCTGGGGTGGGGGGAGACCCAGGGCCTGAGGGAGGGGAAGGAAAAGGAGGAAGAATGAAGTCGGGCGTCCACCATGGACTCCCCACGGTGAATATCATCACTACATATATGCACACGTGTATGAATAAAAATAAAAACCTGGAGAAAGAAAAAATGCAGTGTGACAGAAAACAAGACTGTTTTTAGTGCCACGCCCACATTTATATGTGCACATGTCTGCATCCTTTGCAGCAATTCCTTTGAGAAGCTGGATACTCACACCACTTATACCACTGCTGGGAGTCTATCCGTATGGGGCAGTTTACACAATGATAGCATACTAAGGATGTTATTCTAGCAAACTTTTTAATTCAAAATCACAGGCCCCGCGGGATCATCTTTTTTTTGGCAGGGGGAGTTGAGGTCTCCACATGCACTCCAGGCTGGACTTGATCTTACCATGTGGCCCAGACTGACCTCCAACTTGCAATCCTCCTGCCTCAGCCTCCCTAGTGATAGGATTCCAAGTTGCACCACCACGGCCACCCAGGGCCTGCCCATCTCTTTGTGCTAAAAACAACTTCAGATTTTTCCTCTCAAAGACAGACGTGTATATGTGTCTGTTATAAAAGCCTTTGTCGAGCCTCCTGAAGTCATTTAGATTTACAGGTATTCAGAGAATCCCGTTTCAATGGTGCACACATCACCGAATCACAGCCCCCACCCACCCTCGAGTCAGCGCCCCTGGCTGTGTCCCCGAAACTTCACTGCCTGAAGGTTCCTGAACTGAGGGCCGTGTTGCTTCCTCAAAGACTCGACTCCCAGAGAGACCTTAAACTTCTCTGCTAGTTAACGGCTTATGTTTTTTGCAGGTGTGAATAATATTGGCCATTTTACTCACTTAGGCCCAAAGAACACACGATGTAAGAGCACTTGGTTAATGATACATGGATGCCACCTGCCGAGCTCTTGGTCACCCTGATTCATCAGTCCTTCAGTATCAGCGGCCCCAACGCCTCTCCTGGCAAACAGCAATGCTGACGTTGCTCTGGGTAAGCAGGGGCAGCCGAGTGGATCATTAAAAGCACTAAAAGTTCTCGACCCCAGCCTCTAACTCCACATGTGGTAACCACAAGAACACGCAGAATCTGAAACTTTTCTAGAAGTTATTAAAAATCATGTTCAGGAGGCTGAAGCAGGAGGATCATTGTGAGTTCCAGACCCGCCTGGGTTACAAAGTGAGCTGGAGGCCAGCCCGAACTGCTTAGCAAGACCCTTTGTCAGAAAGACAAAAAAAAAAAAAAAAAAAATCATATTCAGTCTGTCTTCCTAATAGATCCCTCCCCACCGACACACACAAACCTCCTGAGCAGCAGCAGCCTGGTCTCAAGGCAACCTAACTTTCTGTCCCACCTGAGTTGAACAGGCTCCTTGCCACAGAAAACCTCATCTGTCCCACACTGTAAGGAGAGTTTCTCCCTGAATGTAAACGCTCAGCAATAAGCTGCATGTTTAGCAATGACCTTCTCATGTCCAGGTTCTTTTCAGTAGTTAAGAATTCTTGGTTTCCTGTTTACACTTGACAAATCACTCCTAGCCTGAGTAATGTCATGAAGGTGTCACACATGCAGGACAGAGGTCACCATCACAGCATGACCTTTCCCCCCCAGGAGCCTCCCGGCGGCTCTCTGCCTGCAGGCAGAGGTCTCCCATCCTCCACAGAAACCAGCCAGCCACTGCATCTCCTCCACCCACATGCAGGGACAGTGATGGAGATGCAGCCCCAGGAGGCCAAGCCGGTGTCACCTCCACAGAGGAGCAGAGGTTGGGGCCCGGAGGGCTGAAAAGAGCCTGGATCGTCCACTGTGCCTCCCAACCCTGCATTCGTGTCCTCCTGCCTGGGCCCATGTCTCCTTGGCACCCTTCCCATGTGTCTGTCCCCACAGCTAATCAGCTGCATCTGTGTTTATTTTCTGTCCCTTCCCCACTGGGCTGTCAGCGCCCCCAGCGGAGAGGCTGGTTCCGGAGTTTTCATTGCAAAACCGTGCCCAGTGCTTACTTAGGAAACGTCCTCAGTGCATATTTATTAAATGAAACAGTTCTCCTTCCAGCTTTCTTTTTCAAACTGAGTCATGTCCTTCCTGCGTATGAGGTGTGTATGAGCTCGCTGTCATAAAGAGGGCAATTCAGGACAGCACGAAGAAGCAAAAACAGTGCCTCTAGCTCTGTTTGGCTGCAACAGTGCCAGTCACTCTGATGTGCGTCCCTGCAGGGCTTTCTCAGAGCAGGTAGCCGTCGTGAACGTTTGTGCACATCAACATGCAGCTTGGTTTGAAGCTAGATTATATTTATTTGATGCCATTTTACTACACCTGGAATATAACCTTTTTAGGACCA